CCTTTTGAAGTCCAAACACACTGAAACACCAGGTTCACGACTCAAAGCTGGCTGTGCATTGCCAGGGTTTGGCTCTGTTTTGGGTTTGCGAGGAGAGCAGAAATCCTGCCGCCTCTCCCCAGCACTCCACACACCTGCAGCTCCCACATCCCTGGAGCAGGATATTTGCCTTTTTGCCATTTTCTGTAAGAAAACAGGGCTGAGGGAAACCAAATCTGCTGTCCGCATGCAGCCCCACATTGTGTTGCCTGATTTCTGTGTCTGTCTCCATTTCCCTGCTGTCCCTGCCTGTTGATATGCATGTGGTTGGGATGCAGGCAAGCAGAGCATCACCCTGGGGCCAGGTTTGTGTTTTGTTCTTCCAGACCCTGCTTAGAGCATGCAGGAGCTGGTGTCTCCACCCCATGTTTGATTTTTGGGGAGCTGACTGGATGCCTGGCACCCTTGCCTCTTGCCTTGCTTGCTTTGGGTGCAGCCAGCCCCATGCTGGGAGCAGAGTCCTTGTCCCCAGCCACCTTCCCCCTTTTCCCATGCCACCTCTTTGCCCTGAGCAGGAGAGAGCATCAAAAGCACAGTTGTTGTTTTTTTAATGTCTTTTTTTTTTTTTTTTTTTTTTAATTGGGGTGGGGGGGCGGCAGATCTGTGCTCTACTAGCTCCCTTACACCATACTAGTTTTTAGTATTTGCAGCTCACTTCCTGTATGAGGTTAGTTTGTTTATCATAAAAGCCTATTTTTAAACCCATTTCTGCCAATAAGTAATTTGAATGCTGATGCTCACTCGTAGCGTTCCCTGGCCAGGCAACTGCCTCAAGCCCCAGGCATACAGGGGTGGCACTCAGTGGCTTTTCTTGGGAGATGCGCCCAAGGACATGCCCCAAGTGCACCCATTAGAGCCATCAGCCCAGCTCATGTGGTCAGGAGGGGGCTTTATCCCCAGATTGTTCTTTAAAGCTAGTTTTAGAGAGATCAGGGCAGCGGATCTCTCCCCATCACCTGCGAGGCCCCATCAGCCATGGCACCACCCAAATCACACGGACAAGGGTAGACCCAGCTGTAATAGTGGTATGTGCTGAGATTAGAAACCCACTTTTCGTTTGGAAGGATGTGTGGAAACGCATCCCTCCGCTTGCATTTTTGCAGCCCTCTCCTTGCCGAGATGCTGAGACGCCTCCTCATGACCCAGAGCTGGGCCAGGCATCCCACGGGAACTGGGAGGACGTGTGCTGCCAGTTTCTGGTTTATGAAAAAAAAAAAAAAAAAAAAAAAGGCAAAAACTCCATACTTTTTTTTCACCTTCCTCCAGACTGAACCCAGCACTGCTGCAGCTGTGCAAACCAGAGCCAATTAGAGCAGCACCGACAGTGCTGGTGCACGGCGGGGGAAGCGGCATCTTTCTGCCCGGTGTGTTGCCCCCTTCGGGAACTGACATTGTGCCACCTTCAAACATTTCCTCCCTAATTAAAATGATGTCTTTGTCAAAAAGTTCCCATTCGGCGGATGATGTCGCGAATAACATTGAGACAAAGCGTGGTTTAATTAACTCCAGCCACATGGCCAAGCAACGAAGGCTCCCCCGTGCCCTCCCGACAAAATTAAAATATGAGCCCATCAAAATGCTGGCCAAGGGGAAACCCCCGCCCCATTCCTTCTGCACTGGTGGGATTTATCTGCCTGCAGGCCAAAGCTGCTGGGGGATTTTGGCTTGGGACAGGGCTGCCAGGGTAGGGAGAGCAGGCTGCATCTGGCATGCCTGACCCAGGTGGCTTTTGTGCTTTGGGGCTGGCATTGGGAGTGGTGGGAGTCCGGCAGCAGATGAAAATTGGCTTTTTTTACACCGTAAAGACACGTCCACACAGCTCTGCCCGCACTGCTGCCAGGGTGCGAGAGCCTGGGAAGCCCTGCCAGTGGCCAGAGCCCTGTGCTGCCCTCCAGAGCGAGGTGAAACCGCCCAGGTCGAACATCCTAGAACCCTCCAGAAATGTAAGAAACCCACTGGAAACAGTGAGCTTTGTTGCAGTATGAAAATCAGATGCAAAGCTCGGTGGGTATTTTTAGCTGTTTAAGGCTGAACAGGTGTTTGAAAGGTCAGAGGCGAGTCATTGGAAAAAAATATAGTGAGAGCATGGCAGGATGGCTCTGCCGCTCCCCTGGTGCTGGATGGCCCCAGAGCCTTCCAGCCGTGCTTTAGAGGGGATGGAGCTTGGGGCCTGCTTTGTCTGTGGCCCTGCAGCACCTCAGGGATGCTCAGAGCAGTGCTGTGTGCCCCCATGGGCTGCCTTTGGAAATGGACACTTGACTTAATGGGTTCATTTTTTAAAAAGAATGAGATTAATCCCACGTGAAAGTCCCACACAAATCCATAGTGAAGCAGTCACTCTTTATTAAAACGGAGCACCTTGATTTAATAGTGCTGGGGTGCGGGCAGGAGGAGCCCTCCCTCCTGCCCATCACTGCGGGTGGCTTTCGGTGGCCATTCTCCATCTCGCTGCCTCCCATCAAGTTTAGAAAGGCTCCTTCCAGGTACCACAGCTCACTGCGAGCCTCAGAGTGGAAACCATCAGATTTAAATGTCTCCAGGTAAACAAGCCTAGGTACATTTCCAGTAGGTTCAGCTGACAGGGGCAGATGCACGTGCAACCGTGAGCCATTTGTGTGGCTTCTTCCATGATCGAATTGTGTGTTGTTGTTTTTTTTTTTTCCCTTTTCAAGGAATAAAGGAAGTTTGTCATCACCCAAACAGAGATAAAGTTGCCGGTGGTTTAAATTCGTTACTCAAGCAAACCTTTCAGGCCACAGGAAGAAAGGGCCTCTCCCGGGGCAGGACCTGGTGATGTGTCTTTGGTGGACCTGGGACCTGGCCAACTGGGACCTGGCCAACTGGGACCAGCCATGGCCAACCTGGACGTGGCCATGGCCAAGCCAGGCCGTGAGCACCCTGTGCTGGCTGTAGCTGCAGGAAGGCACTGCCTGGTGTTCTCGCCGTGCTGCCGAGGTGCGTTTCTCTCCCCTGCTGTCTCGCCGAGATCACGGGGTTCAGGCAGGCACCTTGCAAAATGAGTCACAGCAAAAACAAAGGGAGAACAGCCCGTGGGACAACCTGCCTGCACAGGCCACTCTGGCACTGCTCCAGCTCCAGCTCAAGGACGAGCCCCTGTTGTTTGTCACAAAAGCGCTGTTTCATTTTTTCCCCCCAAAACATGAGGCAGGACGTCCATGCCGCGCAGCGTGTTGCCCAGCGGGCTGCTACATCGGGTGACCAGAGAGCACCGAGGGCTTCAAACCCTCCTGGATGGCTCAGGGCTCTCCCCGAAGCCTCAGGATCCTAAAATCCCAGTGCCACCGCGCTTCTAATGGGACAGAAAACCCCTGTGCAGCATGGGGCTGGCAGCTGGCATGGCCTCGTCTGGGCAGTATGGCCTTTTCTTTGAGCTAAGGCCCCGAAATAGCACCTGAAACCTATAAACTTCCCTTTCGGGAACTTCTGTAATTTGAAACACGCACAAGAAAAAAAAAAATAATCCAGAATTTTTTTGTTAAGTTGTTTGTCGAGGGGGACTTTTATTTTTTTTAATACATTTCAGCAGGAGGTAGTGGCTCTCACAGGGAGCAGGTTTTGGGGCACTTTTCCCTCTGATTTTTTTATTTTCCCTCTTTCTTCCTTCCTTTTTGCTGTCCTGTCCCCAGCTGATGCTTTGGAGGTGAAGGTGGGCGAGCATGGTCGGGATTTATCCACCAAAAAATTGGAAGTGGTGGCCAGCATCACGGTCTGCTCAGCAGAGGCTCCCCAGCGGTGGGCACCGAGCGTTTGGCAGCGCTGTGAGAAAAGGGCAATGCTTAAAGTCAGCCTCCCAAGCACACAGCTTGGGGATCTTTTATTTATGGGAGAGCAGAAAAAGTGTAATGCACTTTAGGACTTTGGCGAGCCAAAAAAAGGAGAAAAATAACGGGGAGCAGCAACATCTTCTAAAGCAACTCCTCCTCGAGCGCTAGGTACAAATCGGGGCGCGTGCATGGAGCTGTGTGTGCATGGAAAGGGATGCGAGGCTCCTCGTTTCTGCCATTCCCGGCTGCACGTCCACCTTTCCTGCTTCGTTTCACAAGCTTCACCGTCACCCCGTATCTGCTCCTTTTGTGCTGAGAGCCCCATGTGAGCGATCACAGCAAAATAATTGCTCCAAACCGCGCCTGATGCTATCAGTTATCTGCCATCTATTATCTGTGGTGAAATAAAGGCAAAAAGAGCAAGCGCCGCGGGTACGCGATGCAGGACCCAACCCCTCGCCCTCTTTCGCCATCGCTGACCCCGAGATGGATCCGGCCCTAAAACATTGGGGAGGGCTCTGAACTGGGGGCAGGAGGGGGCTGGGGAAGTCGTTTTCACTCCCAGGTTTTGATTCAAATTTAAAACAAAAATACAAAATTTAAAGTAATAGCTAAAAAAAAATCTGAGAACTCAGATGACTCAATTGGGAATCCTAAACAGTGTCTCAAGAAAGAGCTTGCCTTGCAAAACCCTATTAAATTAATTAACCAACTAAATCAATCACAGGCTAGCTCTCCTCATTTGCAGGCATTTAAAATCACCAAGAATTTCCTCGCAAAGGGTTTTTGAAGAAAATAGCTTAATTTAACAGATGCAGTACAGCACCAGGACGCTGAAAGCATCTCAGACCAGAACAAAGCCTCCCCACAAGCCTGGAGCAGCCTGCCGCCACACCTTAGGGGGAATTGGTGATAAAATGGCAATTACCTGTGTCATCATCACCCTCCCCCCCGGCTGATATGAAAATCCCCAAAGAAAGCAGCACTCATGACAAATAGTTGAAAGTTTTATTCATATAAAATTCATATTATAGAACATAAAAGATTGCATCTTAAAAAAAAAAAAAAAAAAAAAAAAAAAAAAAAAGATCTGCAATTATTTACAGCAGTATTGCACAAGTAAAGTGGCAATTACCCTGTCCAAAATTCATCAGTGCAAAACACAAGTAAGCCAGGGAAATTGCAATAAAAATGCTACATATGCTGGGTCCTATGAAATGAGTTAGTAATTAATCAGGACATCAGCGTGCACTCCCATTGTACCTGATGCTAAATCTGGTCCAAGGATCATGGCTGAAACAGAGGAAAACGTGGTTTGAAAAGGGACTGAGAAAACTCATGGAGGTGGAGAAGCCAAACTGTCACTGAATGTCACTAATGCTGACATCTTGTATGTGCCTAAATCACTAGGGAAAGTGGCACTTAGGCACTTAAAACCAACAAATCTGTTGTCCTACAGAGTGGTGGCTGCACTGAAACCAGCAGGCAGTGCTGGGAGGTCGATCACTCGCATGGTCCATACACACCAGAGACCTGGGGCCAGGGAGGGGCGAGACACAACCTGTGGAGGAACTTAAATAAGCAGAAAATAAATATGCAACCTTTCTGCAAGTTACAGCATTATGGAACAGTAGAGTGCATTAATTACACAGGGAAAATTTAAAAAAAAAAAAAAAGGAAAAAAAAAAGAAAAAGAAAATCTACAGTATTTACCAAGTTCAACTCTAAAAAAAAGTTTAGAAAAAACAGGATTTTTTTTTTTGCTTACTTATAAGCTGTACAAAACTTACACGAGAAAGGAAAGGGACTACATTGCACACAGATATTTGGCTCAGATGATGAAAATAATACGGTGTCCTACTCTAATAAATATTCGGGTATTTACAGTTACCAGAAGAGGAGAAGCGTAACACATGGTGCGAGACCATCCAGCAAATCTGGTTTCTCCACAACCACAGAAAACTTCATTGAATCGTTTTGGCAGAACAGAGCACAGGCTACAGAGGCTTAAAATGACCCCCCCCAAAAAAAAAAAAAAAAATCCATCATCAAACACAGCTAAAACGAGTTTAATCACTATTTAAAAACACCTTTTTCAGAAATTTTATTTTATTTAAAAAAACAACCCCCACAAGCTCACAGGGGGGTGAAGCCTGTTTTTTTCAGGGGGCTGCTTTTTCCTCTGTCTACCTTCTTTCCTCCATCTACCTTCTGGCCAGGAAGGCTTGCAGGGAAGAAGCCCAAGCCAGCGGGTGCCGACACCTCGGCTTCTCCCCCAAGGACTCATGGAGTTTTTCCATGGCACAGGGCCGGGAGGATGGGGTAAAGTGCTGGGCGCCGGCCGCAATTCTTTGGTGTGCTCCACGGGACATGCTCAGGGCAGCGCAGCCTCCAGCCCAGCCAGGGTCGGTGGGCATGGCAGCTGCTCGCTCTCCACAAGTGCAGAGGTTCCCCCTCTAAAATACTCTTCTCGTCATCCCTGCAGCCGAGGCCATCTCCCACACGAGATGCTTGTCTTGCAGGACCAGAAAAAAAAAAAAGAAAATACTAAAATTGCTCCATAATCCTTCCAACGAGTGCAATCAGGGGCACGCAGCCACCAATGGGTCATTGCCTACCAGCCAGTGCATAGAGGTCAGATTGTACAGCTCTTCCAGCATGGAAACACTGATCTTCACACAATGGCACTCAGAACAGCTTCTCCTGACACATATATTGCAACATAGTAGGAAAAAAAATGCTATCGTGGGACTGGGTTTGCTTTTTCTTCTACAGTGCTGGTGAAACCAGAACTAACTGCAGCATTTGGAAGGTGATTTTAGGACCATCTACACCAGCCAGAGGGAAGAGGACAGCTTTGAAGGCAAGAGAAGTATGTTTGTGCATAGATACGCGAGCAGTCAGAGCAACTGCACGCCCCAAAAGCGCCTGCTGTGCAGAAGCATCCCGCGTGAGATGAACCAGAGATGGTGGTGGGGCCTCCACGGGCAGGGACACAGATCCTGCTGCTGCTGGTGGCCTCCTGGGCCTCACATAGAGCTTCCTGAGCCACACGGGATGGTCTACAGCTGGGAGAGGAGACAGGGCATTGTCCTGAGGCAACAAACACCCGCTGAGGTCTTCCCAGGTGGAAGGAAGAGACCTGGCACGTGGAGAAGACCTTCCCGAGGCAGTCGGTGGGGAGCAGACCCAACGCTCCACGTCAAGCAAGTCAATGATAGGTTGGTGACACCTTAACAACAGGCACATGCAAGTCCATGTCCTGCAGCACTGCCATGGCCCTTCTTCCAGCTGGATCCCCTCACAGGAGCCTTCGGGGTCTTCATCTCCATGCCCGTACCTGGCTGGCTTCTCCCTTCTTCGTCCTGGTCCTGTCTGAACAGAAGATCCCAGAAAACATCCAACGTGCCACAAACCCTCCTGGGTTTAACAGCAACACACTAACCATGCCTTAAAGCAGTTCCTGGAGTCAAGCAGCAGGACCTGTCTCTGGGTGCAAAACTGCAGTGTTTTGGGAACTGTTCCAACCTGCCTCCAAGAATGGTTTATTGCTGAATTACTCAGTCACCGTTATATATTATAATATACAATACAGAAGCATTTTCACACGTCTTATAGAAAGAATTTCTAAAAAAAGGCAACCTGGTGGATTGTTTTTTGTTTGTTTGGTTGGTTGGTTGTGGTATTTTGGACCCTGGGAATCTGACAGCTAAGTCTTGAAATTCAGAATTTAAAAAAAATTATATATAAAAACAATCAGTCAGCAGGAAATAGGCTATTTGCATGATGCAAATGAATTTAGATTTGGGGTAGCATTAGGTATTTACAGGTAAGAGAAGTGCTGATTGAAATCCCTCTGCCCTTCTTCCCTCCTCATCCTCTTTGGCAGCGCAGTGGCTGCAGCACAAACTAAGGCAGCTCTGCAAATCAGCTGGCTCCGCTGTTTTTTTGGGAATATCCAAGAAGAGCTGATAAGTTCCTGGAAGCGATGATGGAACAGGAGTCGACCATCATTGAGTATTTTCCAAGTCCTTTTTAAAAAAGAAAGATTTTTTTTAAAAAAATTGAGAGAAACACAGTAAACACCACTCTCAGATAAAATCCAGCTTTGGGGAGTCCCGGCAGCTCCGTGTGGGAAATTCACCCTCATCCAGCCATCGTGCGTCCCGGTGGGGAGGGCGGCTTCGAAGTGCCAGGCTCTGGCGCCAGCTCTTCTTCATCTTTTTTCTTTTTTTTTGGAAGAAGTCATCAAGTCCCAGCGCCCCGTGCCACATGGCGTCACTGCATCCTCCAGATGAGGCGGATGATATAATGCAGGAGGCGCAGAATAATGACCTGGGGGTTTCCCACGTGGTTATCCAAGAAACCCTAGAAGGAAAACAGGGTAAAAAAAGTGACTTTAATTCCCAACTGCACAGCACCCACGAGACAAACACCTCCTGCAACACTGCCTGGACGCGGGAAAGGTGGAGGTAGACGTGGCACCTTCCTTGCCAGTCTTCTCCCCACAGTGCTGCTGCAACTACAGGAGGACTGCATTTACCAACTGAGCTTGTTTCAAGAAATTTAATACAGACGAGACTCCAAAATTTGTTAGAAGTGGTGGTCGAAACCAAGACGATTTGAATTTTGCATTTTGACGGTGCTGAACCCTAGCGAATATTTTTTGAAGCAAACAAAACAGTGGCATGAAAAATTGCATGGAAGCCAGCCCTGACAGGCAAACACAGAGGGAAAGGAGGAAAAGACAGACCCAGTTCAATGCCATCAAGTGCTTTACTGCTAGAGAAGCCACTGCTGACACCCCATCTGTGCACCAAACCAAGGTGAAGCCAAAACTGCTGCAAAAAACCTATGCCCCCATGTCCACCCTCTGGGACTGCTCCTGCCCACATTGAACTTAAATTGAACCAGTTCTGTGAAGGTCAACTCAAAATTTCTTCTGAGCAGGGACAATAAAACACAAACAGGGCAAATACCTCCCGATGCTTTGGAGCAGGGCTGAGCAGGCACTTCTCAGCTCCTGCAAACGAAACCTGGAAACAGAGATTTCACAAGCTCAATATCAAGCACTTTAAGTAAACCCAGCTACCTTCCATGTTTTCTTCCAATAAAAAGCTTTATAATACTCAGAGGGCCGAAGCTGCCTGTTCCCATGCACATTTGCCTCACAGGCTCAATGGGGACATGGCACTGTCCCCCTCCACGTGGGAAGCGTGTAACGTTGCCGGGGGGCTGAAACGTGGCAAACGAGCAGTAAGCCCTGCTACAAGAGGCAGGGAGGTAATAATAAGAAATTTTAAAAAAAAAGGAGAAAGTAAGGACCCCCAGCAGGAAGAGCAGCACCAGCAGGTCCCTGCTGATGGTGGCAGCTTTCCGCAGGTTCAGCTATGAGGGCTCCAGGCGAGCGCTTCTCCTTGGAGCAAGTTTTTCTTCATTATTTCACAGCAGCAATCAGCACAGAGCATTGGATTTTTGAGCTTTTTGCCTTTTTCAAGCATTGAAACAGAAGCCTCAGTGTCACCACCGCTCCTTCTCTGTGCTGTCAGAAAGCGGTGCAGTTTGGGCTATATTTAGTGCAGCAAAACCATGTCCGTACATGCCCTGAAGAGAGAAATCACGCTGTTTACACCGATATGCAAACTTTTCTCTCTGGCACGGGGCCGTGACGCACGCCGAGCACACTCGTCACCTGCAGAGGATGCTTCAGCACCCTCGAGCTGGGAGGAGAGAGGGCAAATGGCACAGCTTTTGGCATGCCACATGTCCTCCGTGTAACAAAAGCCTCGGTGTGGAGCTGTGTGGCAGCAGAGCACTGTGGCCGCTGCTGTTTGCTCAATCTGCCAGCAAGGACAAGGAGGGGGTTGATGCTGAACTGCCAGCTTCCCACTCGTTTTGCCCTGGGGGGACTTTAAGGGCAGGCACAAAACAAAAGAGGGCTGCTTTTAGGGACCCCTGCACTCCTCCCGGGTGCAGGCCGGGGCAGAGCAGCAGTGCAGACCCGTCCAACAGCCCCGACCTGTCTGGCGAGAGCTGTTTTGGCACCGCTCTTAGTTCCCCATTTCTACCCTCGCCGCGGCTCTGCGCTCAAAGGGCAAACCCGAACAAGTTGGGCTGCGCCCACCGCGAGGTGGGGACGAGGACGAGGACAGGGACATGGGCTACAATCCTCCTGTTCCTCCCTTCCCAGGTGCTGTGCCACTGATCCAGTCCCACATGTGCAAGTTGATTCCTCAACAGCACGCTGTTTGCAGCGGGAAAAGACAGCGTTTCAGGGAGCAATAGCCAGGCACAGTGGGAACAATAAATCCACAGCAATTACTTAAATGCTCTGCAAGCCGCTTGTTTCTGGATGCAATAGACAACAGGAATTCATCAGATTGTAATTAAGCCCGCGGGAGGCGATGCTACTTTGTCCTTGCCACCAGAGAACAGGGGAATGCTGCATTCCCCTGTGGACCTGCGCAGCCCTCATCCGCATGCATGGCAGCAAGGGAAAATGAGAGCAAATCCACAGGGGAGGCTGCTGACTCCAAAGCAGGGGGGTAAAAAAAAAGCATAAATTCAAAAGAATTAGCATGACAGGTGGCTCGATGCAGGGGAGCACTGGGATGGGTAACCACAAGCAACCAGGACGCCGCAGGAGCTGTTGCAGAGCACCCGAGCTACAGACACGAAGGAACTACTCAGTGCTCTCAACCCAGCCAGGCAGCAATAGGCACAGCCCGTATCACATCCTTCTGATGTTATTACAGGCATTCGGTGTTTTTAGGGTCACGCATGACAAGCCATACTAATGTCATCTAACAAGCCAAACGTGGCCCTGTTTCAGTTCTTTCCCCAGATGAGCGGGTTGGATGCTCTGCTGGGAACCACTGCAGGAGCGCAGCTGAAGGAAACCCTCTGCCACGCAGCGGGTCACAGAACACGCTCAGGTGAGTACAAACCACGCAGGATGCATTTCTCACATCACCCACAGAGTCACATCAAGCATGGGCTTGCAACAGAGCAGCCTAGCATGGCAGGAAAGTGGGAGCATTCAGAAAAAAAGTGATGTACAAGTTGCAAGCAAGGCAGTGCTGAAAGGCTGTGGAGAAGGTGCCGGACTGCAGCAGCTTGGTGCCCATTTTGGGGGAGAGTTTCTGCCTGAAGGCAGCTGTTGTACAGACCCTGGACGTGGTGAGGAAATGCTGCGGGGGTGACTCACGAGCTGGGGAGGATGGATAAAGATCCGGGTAGTCAGCATGTCGTCACCAACGCCTCTACTTCTGACTCTTCTTCCCACAGACGAGGAAAAGGAAGAGTAGATGGACTGGAAATCACATGTACGAACACGCAGCCATGAGAGATGTACAACAGGCAAGTTACTGGCTAACGTTCTTCTGAAAACTACTGTTACTTCATCTCTCTTGGTGCTGGCTTGTTTCTTATTTGTATTAGTGCCACCCATTTTTGTTGCAACACTAAAGGTGAGACTTCACAATCTTATAAACACATGCTTTTTGAAGGAGCTCCTGTTGTCGATTGCTTATAAGCTATCAGACAGGTTCATCCCTGTCTGCGACCAGGACACACATGATCCTCTGCAGCAGCAATGTGGGCACTGGACAAGCTGGGAAGCTGTGCTGGCTCCCAGCACGTTTCCCTTAAAACACCAGCGCTGGAACCCAACAGTGCCAGCCTCCCAGCACGGCTCCTTTTGATGCTGTCCCAAAACCATACCTGAACTTTACTTGCTTCAACTTTTAGATGTCTTTTTCCCTCGTCACCATCAGGTTTGGTCCTAACCCAGCAGCAGACCATGCTTTGCTGGCTCTTGGTACTGGGAACAAAGCTGCGATAACTGGAAGTCTCCGGTCCCAACTCGCTGGTGACTCTGAGTGCGTTTAGTGACACTGCAACAGCGGGCAACTCCGCAACGCAGGCAGCACGCCCCTGCACCCGGGTGAATGCAACCACCCGCGCATCCTTTTCTACATTTGAGTGAACGAAACACTTGCCGCAGAGCTAGTTTCCAGATATGATTAAGCTTTTCCCTTTTAGAGACTAAGTGTAAAGAAATGGAAAGTAAAAATAAGAAAATTACCCTTCTTGGACAATAGGAGGCATTGAATTCATCTCCAATGCGCCGCAGCTCCTGTGCAATCCATATTTCTGGCTGTATTTCTTCTGCTAGCGAGTGAGACCGCCACCTGGAAGCTGCACAGAACAAAACCAAGCATTTGAAACAGATGAACACGAGGGAAAAAAAACAAAACAACATCAACAAATACTCTATTAAACCCAGAAAGAGTGCAACTGTGACTTGATGTGTACGAAGTGTATTGTAGACAGGTTTTAATTCCATACTGGTTGTCCATTATTATTAGGCTTTTATTTATTAATTTATTATAGGCTTCCTATTGGAGCGCTTCCTGTGGCACATCCAAGCACTGGTTCCTTCTTAAACAAGGAGAAAAAGCTGAGGAAAATGGAGCTGCTGCTCTTCAATTTCTTTCCCTAGCAAAACCTTATGCCCCCCTTTCTAAACCTAATGATTTCTTGCAGGCAGAGCAGCAATTTCTTCTGAAACCTTAAAAATGTCTTGATAGTTTAATCTAATTCTCACATTTCTTCTCCAAACAGTTCTGAGGCATCCAGCAAGAAAAGGAAAACAATTATTTTTGTCATGCTAAGAAGAAAGCCACAACTGGAGAAACTGCACTTTGAGCAAACTCGTGGACTTTTCAGCTCCCCAACAGGACTGGAAGGCTCTTCACTTCAATTTTTACGTTCCAGCTCTTCAGCAGAAAACAAACCAGGCGCAAGAAAACGGCACTGGCTAATAAAAGAAAAAAGGAGCTAATACATCAATTACACTGAACTGTACAGAACCAACCCCTTTAGTCTCCATTTTAAGAAGTTTCTGAACATGTGATAAAACAGCGCAAAATGCCCCAAATATTTGAGGGGGAAAGAAGCAGCCTTTGACCCAGGCGAGCCCTGGTGCAGCACCTGTGCCACCTTTGCCCCCTCCTGCCACAAGAAGCTCAGATTTGAGAAAGAAATGCAGCCTTAAGAGGAAAAAAAAAAAAAAAAGAAAAAAAAAAACTACCCCAAAAAAACAGCACACAAAACAAAACAGAGCATTTCACAAACTTGGCACGAAAGCTTAAAAGGACTCGCGAGGGAATACAAATAGCTTCCAATCTCAAAATATTCAAAGGATTAGTAGGGCAGTTAAAAAAAATTAAAAAAATAAATAAAAAATTAAATAAGAAGTCTGGCTCCGACCTGACTGGAAAATTTATTTCTGAGCCAAGCTGACACTGCTTGGCTTGGGGAGCTGTTTTGTTTTCACACTGTAGTAGCGCAGGAGCGGTGCCCGCTGCCTTCCCGGGGACGGCCCCGTGCTATTTATTTCCCAAGCTGCTGAATGAAAGGTGGCAAAGCCTCGGCGCTCCGGGAAGGCACACGCGGGATCCGGGCCTGTCTGAAACGCCGCTGGCACGAAGCAGTCCCGGCGTGGCTCTCCCGCTCGCTCCATCGGTCCTGCCCCGGCATCACACCGCCGCAAGGGCACGGTGGCTGAGAGTGAAATCGGGCTGAGGTTTTCAGAAAGGACTTTCTGCGGCACTGCCGGATCGCAATATCAAAAGCGTCCAGTCATAATCGGTTGCAGAAACAGTCAGAGGAACTTTCAGAGCGTGCTCGGGGTGGCCACAGTCATACTGGGAGCTGACGCCGCCTGACGCGAGGGGAGGCGGCCCCGGGCCTCAGCCCGTCCGCGCGTGGTGGCTCCTCCAGCGCTTCGCCTCATGGAGGCCAAGGGACCAAACGACTGCCCGACAGCTCCGTGGGCCCTAATTGCCCTATTAAAGCAGATGCCATGAAGGGAGAGTGGCAATGTCTCCCACACCCCCCCCGGTAAACATGCAAAAGCTTCTGAAGGCCAGGAGGTCTGTGAGAAGCTTCCCTGACCAGTGCCGCCAGCCAGGCGGGACAGGGCAGCCTGGCAGGGCAATGTTGCTGTGTCCATGTTTAAAACCCAAACCATGTCCACCTTTGGGGTTGCGTAATTCAAATCCCCTTCAGGAAAAGCCCGTAAAACACAGGAAAACAACCTTGGATGAAACACCAGGTCAGGCACGCAGAGCTCCACCGCACCACTGAGGCAGAGTGTGAGCAACACCCAGCCCACACCGCGCCAGCACGAACACACACACACCTCCAGCTTCTCGGTTTAAGGTTTCCCCGTTAAATTCACCTCTCCTGCTGATGGAGGATTTCCCCCCGTCACGCTAGACTGACATGAAAGCACCCCTTTCCCTTTCCACCTCTCACTCGAGGCCTCACGTCAGGGCTCAGCGAGGGCTCTACTCACAGCAGCCGGGGGTTTGCTCTTCTCACACGCTGCTGGAGAGCACAAAACAGGTTCATCCACAAGCAGTGAGAAGTTCACACTCCTCTCCCTTCTCTTGGAGAGTAGGAAAGCACATCAAGATCCCAACAGCACAGGGAAGTCTCATTTACAGAGCACCTGCTCCAAACACATCCAGTAAACCACGTACAAAACCCAGGCGCGCACCTCCTGCTCCTTCAGACAGAGCTGCCCTTTGGGAGAGCAGCGAGCAAAGCAATCCGCTCCCATTGAGAGCCAAAGACTCGAAATATCAGCCTAGGATTCCTACGGCACCACCAAACAGCTGGGTTCTGGTCTCGGGTGACGTTATTTTGAGCACTCCCATGGGCAGGCCATCCCCATGCATGCCACTGCCCTTCTTTGCCACACTTTTTAAAGAAAAGCAGGCTTCTTCTCCTTCTGTTTCCTCCTCCGTATCTCCCCCGCTGCCCTGCCATGCAGTCTCCAGCATCATCTCTTTTGCTTACCACCACAGCTCCTCCTCCTCTCCTCCTCGAGAGCACCCTTCCCAGAACAGCACACCAGCACTGCGCATCAGGGTGCTCCCCGCCTCCCACCCAAGAACATCTCCACCTCACACCCACCCACCCTGTTTCTCACACACGGTTTTGACCATTTCACACGCAAGAACACGACACCAACGCAAAATCTCCTGAATCTTGAAAGCAGCCTTCACCACAGCAAACCAAGAGAGTCTCGGGCAGAGCTGCAAACGCAGCCCTTGCAATAGCTTGCCACGCAAAAGTCCCCTCTCCTGCTGCTGCAAACACAAACCCATCGCTCCACACTGAAACTTCCACCCTGCCTCCTCCCTCCTGACTCCTAAAGGAGCCACAAAAACAGCAGGCTGCTTTGGGGGCAGCGGGCACCCATCGCCCACATGTGTCCCCACTGCTCAGTCGGCATCTCCACTAAGACATACACACAGAAACTCAGCACGAAGTCCCTCTGCTTGCTTCCCTCCAGGGGGACAGAGGGATTTCCTCGCACCACGTGGGAATCTGACGGCACGCACCCGGCAGAGGCAGAAGCGCGCAGATCAAGCGCTGGCAATAACCACCCCGTGTCCTCGCCCACCATGCAGAGCCCGTCCCCACCCCCTGGTCACAGCTGGGGGCCTGCAGCCCCTCCCCGGGAATAAAACAGCCCCGTGCCTCCAGCTTCACAGGGTCTGAAAGTAGCCAAGGGTCCCTTGCACACAGCTCAAGTATTTTCCACTGCCTTGTGGCTGTTTAGGATGATGCCCCTAGCAACAATAACAGAACAAAGGCTGGAGTAAAAGCTGTGTCTCGATAACTTTCGCTGAGCTCTCTGTATGGATGTGAAAAAGCCAGAGCTCAGAAAAATCAGGGCAAACTTCAACCTCTTCCTGCAGTACCAGAAAAAAAAAACTATTTGCTGCTTCAAAACCACCCGCGCCTCCATGCTGCACAACTCCAGCATCCTTGTCTGGCGGTGCCACGTGTGTTTGCTACACAAGGTTGTGAAACTTGCATTAAGCTGTAATTACAGCAATAATGTCAGAAAATCTTTCCTAAGGGCATGTTACAGTAAGCACTCTGCAGCTGTAACCACAGCCATTAACCATGAAAAAGAAAAAAAAAAACAAAAAAAAAAAAACAGATGTTTTGATCGCGTAAAGCTTGGAGCCGGCGTTTGTTATTCCCCAGGAAGCGCTACCTGCCCCGCTCCGTGGGAACGCGCCCACCTCCCTCGGGTCTCGCCGGGCGGAAGCCCAAAGGTTTCCTCCGCTGCCGGCGGGGAATTAATCACGGGGAGGAAAAGCAGCGCGCCGCGGGAGCCGGGCTGCGGCTCTGCCACTAGAGGCTTCCACTGCCGCTTACCTGGCGAGCCGCGGGTAAACAGCCGCCCGCCACCGCGCCGCTGCCAAGCGCCCACTGCGGTTTCACCGAAACGAGCGGGAGCAGCGCGCCCATGGCACCTCCGACCCCGCGCCGGGTGCCGAGGGAGTTGGAAGAGGAAGCAGAAAAAGCAAAGCCAAGGCGGGGACGCGAGGAGCAGCAGCACGCCTCGCCCTGCGTGCCCTCACCCCTCGCGGGAAGCGACGCGGGGCCGGAGCGCGGCCAAGCCCGAGCCAAGGCGTGCCCGGAGCGCCGGCCTCGCGCCGCCGACACCTCGCGGGCTGGCAGCGAGCGGCACGCGGTGTGTGCAGCCCCCCGGCTGGGTCACTCACCCATGGCGCTCAGGTAGTGGCTGACGGCCTGGCAGGGCGGGCTGGGGGTCTGCGTGGCCTTGTCGCAGCTCATGGGCGCGGGGCTGCGCTCGGCCTCGAAGGAGAAGTAGCCGCTGGAGGAGCGCGACAGCAGCGGCGACCTCCGCACGAAGATGAAGAGCGGCGAGCGGGTGGCGAACGGGCCGGGGCTGGCGGGCGGCGGCTGAGCCCGCGGCGGGCTGCAGGGAGAGACGGGCCGGGCGGCGGCCGACGACGACGACGGCGAGGAGGAGGACGAGGAGGAGGAGAAGGAGGACGAGGAGAAGGAGGCGGCCGCGGGGAGGCCGGGCAGGGCGGCGGGGGCTCCGGGCCTCAGCTGCGCCGCCGGGCCCGGCCCCTCGGCCGGGGGCAGCCGCCCAGCCTGGCGGCCGCGCTGCGCCTTCGCCTCGGGGGGCTGCTTGGCCATCGGGCTGCGCGGCGCCTGCGGGCGGAGCGCGGTGAGCGGCGGGCGGCCGGGGCTGCCCCCGCCCCTTCCTCCTCCTCCTCCTCCTCCTCCTCCTCCTCCTCCTGCTGCTGCTGCTGCCGCCCTCCTCCCCGCCTCCTCCTCCTCCCCCTCCCCGCCTCCCCGCCCGGCCCCATTGTTCTGCCCGCAGTACCCGCGCAGCCCCCCCGCCCTCCGCAGCCTGTCCCCCCCCCCCTCCTTCTTCTCCTTCCTCCCTCCCTCCTTCCCCTCCTCCTCCTCCTCCCCCCCCAACTCCTTTCTCCTTCCCCCGTCCCGTCCCGTCCCGTCCCCGCTCACGGTGCTCCCGCCGCGCTCGGGGCTGCCGCTGCCCGCCCCTCCCGTCCCGTCCCGTCCCCGCCCCGTGTTTACCAGCGCCGCCAGCGCCGCCCCCGGCCCCTCCCGCTCACCTCCGCTGCCCTCCCGCGGGCGGGAACGCGCAGCCCCCCCCCCCACACACACACCCCCCCCCCAGCACCGGGCCTTGCACGCCCCTTGCACCGCAGGGCAGCCCTTGAGCCCCCAGCGGCTTTGCACACCCGGCCCCTCGCACGTTTCCACCCGCACAGCGGTGCCGAATTTTACTTGGAAACGAGAGAAGGGGGGAGGAAAAAGCGGGGCAGAGGCAGGCTCGCTCGAGGTGCGCCTCGCCTCAACGCCCGCCGGCATGTTGTGTGGTGACAGACTCCAAGCTGCGCTGTGGCAGCCGACCACAGCTTCCTCCGGCCCTGCCGCCCCCGCCGGCACCACCACCACCACCCAGGGGCGATTAATTGGGAAAAGCTCATCAGGGATGAAGGTGTAGGCTCGGGGCTGCCCATTACACCCAGCCCCTGGGGTCAAGCCAGGGCTGAGCGAGAAGGGGGAGAGGCAGGCAGCGCAGCACGCACGGCGTCGACAGGCAGAGGCTTCTGCTATTTACTCCTCGCCCTTCGGTTTGGTTTCTGCGTGGGTGGCTCACGCGAACAGAAAGGCTGTCGGGTAAACGCCTTGCGGGAACAGGCCGGCCCTTGCACCTCGGCGACAGCCCGCCTTCAGGCACGGTTTTGGGGATGCGCACCAGGGCCCTGTGCCCCAGGGAACTGCAAAGCAGGGCAGCTCTCACCCACCCCCCCAAAAACACTCCAGGTCTGGGCACCGCCCGAGCCACCGGCATCATTCGGAGGCCTTGACCCCAGCAGCAGCACCTGCTTGGGATGAACACTGAGAGGAGTGGGGATAGCGCCTGCCCTAGGTCCCCAACCCCATGGGGTCACCCCGGTGTTCCTCTGGCCCCTTTGCGTGTGCCCTCAGCCCGCCAGAAACCCAGCCTTTCCCTCTGTCCCACCTCAAGGCTTCGGCTGCGCCATCCACCGCCAGATCGAACGTTGGATAGATTTTGGAGGTGCTGCCTTGGCACGGCAGGCTGCCGGCAAGCCTCGCACCCTGGCTCCGCCACACCAGCATGGCCATGAGCATCCCAGGGCCAAGGCACCCAGTACCGCAGGGACAAGGGAATGGGAAAAGGAGACGGCACCCAGCTAGGGGCCACTTGTGCTGCCAGCACACCCTCACTGCGGAGAGCTGGAAGCCCACGATATTGGAGAGCACTAAAAAAAACAGACACCCCATGCACTCAGCTGCTCGCTGAGCTCAAATATTTTAAATTGTGCGGCACCCAGGAATGGAAAAAAATGACTTCTGCTTCTCCAGCCCATTGTGATAAATGTTATTTCACTCGATGCTGGCAGATAAAATCAGTTTAAGCCACATGCCTTAAATACGAGGCTTTATCTGAATCGGTGCTGGAGCCTGACCTTTACCGCAGCGCAGCGGCACAGGGGCACGCTTCATGCGAAACGCTGTCATTTTTCAGCCTTCCGAGCACACCAACAGGCGCAGACCTGCTCGTGAATCATCTGAAGAGCCTCGAAGATGTCACGGGGCAAGAGAAAGAGAGGGAGATGCTTATCTGGGAGAAGGAGGCGGCTTCTTGGGTAGAAGCAGGGTGCTGGGGAGTGGCAGGGGTGTGGGATAACGTGGATGCTCCAGCAGCAGTAGGATGCGCACTGGGTGCTGGCACCTGCTAGGAGCACCCCAAAAACCCTACCTGTGGCATGGGACGAGGGGTGAAGGTGCCACCCTAGCCCCTTCGAGCTGGGGACACCCAGGTGCTGTCAGCAGGACCTGGGGGGATGTTAGTGCCACAGCCCATGGGACGGGGGAGAGGTGCTGGGTTACCGTGCGTCTGGCTCCATAGGGAGGCGTCCGCAACTTCTAACTTCAAATTTTGCCTTTCCTTTTCTCCCCCTTTTTAAATGGAACTGAGAACTCCGGTGCCTGGCAAGCCGGGTTTAGGGAGATTTTACTGGCAGCAAGGGCTCAGGCCGTGGCTGCCCAGGGTTGGGTGGCCACCAGCAAGCCCTAGAGAAAACAAGAGAAGCAAGTGTCAGACCCCGGCAGGGGCCCTGGGCTCATGAAGGGCACCATGGCACAGAACAAAAAATGAGTAAAGTTGGGTTTTCTGCAGAAGAAAGAGCAAGCCACCCACGCGCCAGGAAATCTCTCCTCTGGGCGTGGGTGGTGGAGGCCCCAAGATGAGTTATCTCTAAAGGGCAACTCTGGGGATACCTAGAGATCTTCATCAGCGTGGATTCGGCGCACACAGAGGAAACATCAGCCTTGCCAGCTGGGGTTTTGGGTTTTTGCACTTTTTTTTTTCTTAATCAAAGCTCCTTTTTAGCAGCTTGTTTTAAAGTCGGTTAGAAAACAGGAGGCCCCTGCCGCCCCCCCGACCACCCTTCTGTCACCCTGCTCACACAGCCAGCGTCCTGGGATGCTTTTACCCTTTTCAATGGAAAATACCACGGGTAGCAGCAGCCTGCACCCAGCCCTGCAGAGCGTGGGCAGTGGCCCCAGCTGTCCCCACCAGCTGTGCTACCCTTAGGGTCCCCCCACCAGCCCACAGCCAGAGGAATTTGCAGCAAAGCAGAGAGAGCCCAGGATGGTAAAATCATGGTGCCTCCAGCCCCCCAGCCCATACAGCATGGCCCCAGGGGCATCCTCAGTGTCCACAGGGAGAGGGGGGCTCAGTGAGCCCCTCAAGCCAGGGGCTGGGGCAGCTTTCAGCTCCCCCCTTCCCCCAGTAGATAACGATGTGAAACTCCTACACCCACGCGTGCAGGCGAAGGCTCTGTGGCAGCAGGCACAGCCCTGACATTTGGGTTTTGGAGGCTCGGGTGCAGCTGCTGGGGCCCCACCTGCACTCCCCGGGGAGGACGCACACGTGGGGCGCGCACCTGAACCCCCCCCAGCCGTGTAGGCTGCGTGCAGGGTGATACAAGGCGGGCAGGGACAGCTCTGGCCTCCCCAGGTCCTTCTCCGCACACAGAGGCGCTGGAGGAGGCTGCACTACAATGAACGAAATGCTGCGAGCGCGTGAGCCCTGGCAGAGATCTGCGCCTGGATGGGGAACAGCTGGCTCTGGCTCCGCGCGTAAGAAAAGTAAACGGAGGAGAAGGAGGAGGAGGAAAAATCCCCAGCGCCGGGTGTTTATGTTTCCACCCGCTGGAGGAGGCTGCTCCAGCTGATGCGCTCCAGCTGACGGGGCAGCCGGCTGTTTGGGATCAAGGCTGGAGGCTTCCCCTGCGACAGCAGGCAGAGCGCGGCGCGGGAAGGGGAGCGTGCCAGCACCACGGCCCAGGGAGCGCGGGCTGGATGCCCCGGGAGGAGAGCGCCGCGGCACGCAGCTGGGCGGCCGCCAGCCGCAGGGAACTGGCGGAGCCAGGAGAAGATAAACAAGGAGGGAATTACCAAAAATGACACGTGTGCTGTGGTCAACGCCCCTCCCGCCAATACGGGCTTCTCCACGGCGCAATTTCATTTATCAAAACAACGGGACAAGAGTTTCTCGGTACCTCTACATGCACAGCAGCCTGCAATTTCAGCTTGCTTCGTGGCTGCCTTTCCCACTGCGGTCCCCAGGCCAAAGCGCTGTCTCAGAATAGCAAGGCCTATGAAAAACAAACTCCACATCCCCGGTTGTGGCAAGGCTCAGCTCGCAAGCTGGATGCCCCTGCCCTTTCCCAGCACCCAGCCAGCGTGCTGGGCAGCCTGGGTTTATTTTACCTCTCCAACTGCAGGGTGTTCCTCAAGTTTAACAGCTTGGGCAGAATGTCTGACACAACAAAATACCTCTGCAGCACAGTGAGACCAGGGAGATTCATGAAAGTCTGTTGTTTGTCTCCCTCCTGTGGATAGATGCACAAATAAAATAATGCCCCCGCTGTACCTGGGGCTGTGTGCAGCTCATCCCTGCAGCTCTGGGGGGGCTTTGGTTCCCAGCCAGTTCTCACAGAGGTGCTGGGGATGTCAGGGCTAGAACTGGGTGAGTTCCCACATCACACATGCTGCTGGAAGGCCCCAGTCTCAGGGGAAAGGATCATGCTTTTAGAATACAGACCCAGCCCTGAGAGCAGCGTGGGGCAGCTGTACTTCGGCGCTTCTGCTGGAGAAAGGTCCCCATAAAATGGCAACTTGCGGAAGAAGCAGGAACAGGCTACTTACAGGTGAGACTTAGGAAAACAACACTGAATCCGAGCAAAGTCAGCCATCACGAACCAGATCAGCCCCTTCTTTTAAGGTTGGAGGCTCTCAAATGATATAAACATTTTCACTGTCATTTTTGCATGCAAAATACAGAACGGCTCCCATCTACCCAAAACCTTTAAACCAGCCTACACGCTGCTGATAAACCATTTTTATCCTCTAGGTAGCAAAGTCAGACTGACATCGTCTGAACACTGACATTTTGGGGCACTGTGCATGTGCTGCACGCTAACTTCCCTGGGGCGGGCACGTAGGACTGCTGGCTCTCATCTTTCCCACAAGCCATCGTTATGAATCACTCCAGATCCTGCAGTTCCCAGTTACAGCTCATTTCATCCTCGACACAGGAGCAAGGCCCTTAGGAAGAGAAGTGCCTCACTGATGGGAACCTCCAAGCAGTCCCTGCTTCTTGACAGTCAAACGCACGCTGTGAGTGATCCATTACTCACAGCTGGTACAGCATTAATGCGAAGTGCCACCAGCACACGAGGAACACAGTCAGTGTTTACTCCTCGAGATCAATCAGCAGCCACAG